TCGTATTGATGACACCCTAACTTGGGAAAAACATGTACAAGACGTCCTAAAGAAACTTAATTATAAAATTTATCAACTATGTAGAATAAAGAAATTCTTACCAGTATCGGCAAGAATCACTTTCCACAACTGTTTTATACTACCATATATTGACTTTTGCTCGAACGTTTGGGGACATTGCTCTCAAAAACTGGTACACAAACTTGAAAGAATTCAAAAACGAGCACTGCGGATTATACTAGATGCCGACTATACTGTTCCCGGTGCACAACTGTTTGTAAAACTAAAATGGCTGCCTTTTACGTACAGAGTTGAATATAACGAATATGTTCTGATGTTTGAAGTAATAAACAAGCTATGTCCAAATTACCTAGACTGCAATACTCTTGTGAGCAATGTCCATACTATTCAAACCAGGTCAGCTGCGGCAGGTAGATATGTTGTACCCAAACACAAAACGGAAAAATTCAAAAGCTCTTTTAAATATAATGGACCGACACTTTGGAACAATTTGCCAACTACTGTCTCTAAATGCCAATCACTAAACAGTTTTAAGTTCGAGTGCAAAAAACATCTCAATGTAATCTATAAAGACAAGTGTAAAGAAAATTAAAAATCTGCACCCCCTTTCCCTCCTGAAATATCTATCTGCTGTAGTACCTGGAATATGACACACGTGTATCTAAATGAAGTTTTAGAATTTAATCTTAATTACTATTCCTAATGCCCCAATCAACACTTTGGTATTAACTCACGCTACATTAGCGTATATTCTGTAATTGTTTACCCTTTGTTACAGTGACATGTATGTATATTAGACGCATTATGCGTTTCTTAAATCTTCTAAAATGCAGCATGAGAATTTTTATTTTCCAATACACGTGTGACATATTTTATTGAAAGCCTGTGTGATATCACATACCAATATATCTGTGATATGTATTACGTAGTTTTGTTATTGGATACAGGATGCAAGAGTGTGTTTTTTTTGTTTTTTTTTGTTTTTTTGTTTTTTTTGTTTTTAAAGATAATACAATGTTTTATTACCTGTGATATGTTACTTAATTTCTTATGTATGTACGTGTATGTCATATCCATGTTGTAAATATTGTACATTTTATGTCGACCACATGTGAGACGAGTCATGGACTCAATGTGTTATCGAATTTAAATAAAGTCTATTATTATTATTATATTGACGTGTTAATTGTACGATTTTCACCTGTCCTTCTTCTCCTAATTGGCATACTCGTGACTTGTGGTGATTTGGCCCCTATCGGCGGGCGACTGAGTACCAAATCACCTGACGCGTACTGTATGCAACTCTTGTTCAAATCTATCATACACATTCAAATATTTTGTCAAATTAGTATACCTATTTGTGTAATCATTCAAACCAGAGACGTATATATTACATACACTTAAATCTATATGGAGGTTTTGAAAGTAAACAGACTTTCATGTTCTCAAATTTATTATGCATACAAATACACTCTTGTTGCATCAATAGAACGAAAATAAGATATAATATGGTAATTGTCAACTATTTTCTTCTTAATCTGGTTGTTATGGCTGTAGTTTGCAAGAAGTCGGAATGACATCCATATGCTTCGATGTTTAAAGAGTGGTGAATCTTACTATGACTTTCATGTTCTCAAATTTATCATACCCATAACAATACACTCTTGTCGCATCAATAGCATGTTTTAACTTTAAGTGACGAGACTAAGATCTTATATGATAATTGTCAACTATTTTCTTCTTAATGTGGTTGTTATGGCTGTAGTTTGCAAGAAATATGAATGACATCTATAGGCTTCGATGCTTAAAGAGCTTTAAAACGTATCTGGTGAATCTAACTATGACGATGCAGTCACGTTTTCATTCAATGCAATATAAATGTCCTTGTATTTCAATTTTGTTATAAAAGAAGACATGTACTAGCTGGAACTCGCCAAATGGATGCAATTATCAATTTACTCTTAAAAAATATATCAAAAAAGATTGGTGTAATAGGCTGGGAAGGTCTTTTTATCAGGAAATAATATTTTCCTAAATAGCGTTTGATAGCAGAGACTAGTCCATGGTATTGGAGAAAGTTTGTGTTGGTTTGTTAAATCTAGATACATTTACACAGAAATGTTAATTTATAAAAAAAAATATAAACATACACCTCACTATATAGGCAGTTGAAGATGCATGCATCATTATTGGTAGTAAGACTCAGGTAACGATATTTGATTGATCCTTGAATACATTAACATGACATATAAATGCATACATATACCACCTATACCCTTCTTCATCACCTATACGTCCTATACCCTCTTTGCCCTCCTTCATCATCTTTACTTCCTATACCCCCATTTGCCCTCCTACATCACATTTACTTCCTATTCCTCCTATACCCTCATACATCACCTATACCACATATACCCTCCTACATCACCTTAAATAATTATGTCCTCCTACATCACCTATACGTCCTATACCACCTATACCATGATGGCATCCTACATTATCTATACTCCCTTACACACCTATACCCTCCTACATCACCCGTACTTCCTATACAACCTATACCGTACTACATCACCTTTACCTACTATACCACCATTACCCTTCTACTTCACCTTTACTTCCTATACCACCTATACCCTCCTACATCACCTTTAGTTACTATACCAAATGTACCCTCCTTCATCATCTATACCCTCTTACACCAACTATACCCTCCTACATCACCTATACTTCCTATACCTTCCTACGTCACCTTTACTTCCTATACCCCATATACCATCCTACATCATCTATACCCTCTTACATCACATATACCCCCCACATCATCTATACCCTCTTACACCACCTACACCATCATACTTCACCTTTAATTTATTTTCTATACCTTCCTACGTCACCTTACTTTCTATACCTTCATACGTCACCTTTACTTTCTATACCTTCATACGTCACCTTAACTTCCTATGCCACCTATACCCTCCTACATCACCTATACTTCCTAACCCACCTATACCCTCATACGTCATCTATACTTCTTATACCACCTATACTTCCTATACGACTTATACCCTCCTACCTCAGCTTTATTAACTATATCCACCTTTATCCCCCTACACCACCTATACTTCCTATACCACCTATACCCTCCTGCATATATACATCACATTTACTTCCTATATCACCTATACCCTCCTACATCACCTATACTTCCTTTACGACCTACACCCTTCTACATCACCTACAAATGTAACCTGAATTTACCATCTATGCCCTCCTGCATTTATTTTGTTATTTTATCTGGTTATAAGTTATTATGTTCATTTAATTTATTTCAATATTTTTATTTCATTTTATTGATTTATTAATTAATTTGTTTTATTTATTTAATCATTATTTTTATTTCATTTAATTAATTAATTTGTTTTATTTATTCAATTTAATTATTTATTGATATTTTTAAGCCGCTTTTGGCGAGAGCCGACCGGCTTATTTTCATTTGTGGCGGTTTTTGCCATTCGTGATTTAACCATAAACACGTTCTTTATTAGTCTTTTCAATATTTTAAATACATATTTGAATACTCATAACCATTTTATTAAATATTAAAAATTAAAAATAATGTGTCCTCTTAATTCAGCTTAAAGAAATACCGAGTACACAACTAGTAAACTTGCTAGGTCTCAATGATTTTCAACGGCGTAATCAAAGTCAATTTATTGTCAATGTTGGCAGGGGCCATGTACCTCTCGAACCTCGCAGGCAGCACCCCCGATACATATTGCGTGTCGAGCACAGGACCACGGACTTTGATAACAATCTAATTCCGTGACTGGACTTACATTATTCGACCTGGACGTAAACAAAACCCACAATATAGACAATAAAATTAACGAAAGATCATACACACATACAGATAAAACTACAAATATTTTATGAAATGAAACTCGCCGTTGAGACGCACTAATTATATATCTTCAATCCAGACTACCCTGGTGTCATTACGAAACCATCAGCCCATCAGTGATTCATCTATTCATATGAACAGAATGATATAAGAATGGAAATTAAATATTTAAAATATACAAATAACCAATTAATCAATTACTTTCTACTTAAAATTTTACTGGCCGATTAGGGTACGTGTATAGACATGCATCCATCAATCAGCAAACGACACAGCCCAAATATTTGAAAATAAATATAAGTCATTGCCAAACTTCCGACCGATTATTTCACGTCTTTATCTATTTTATTTGTATATTTATTTTGTTTTTAATTTGCAAACTTTATTATCCATATAACTATTTTTTTATATAAAAAACAATCAGCACTCACATATTCTTAAAATAACCTGCACATCGATCGTTTTCTTCCATAACCAGCAAAACGCATGTTCAACGCACATTCAATGCTAAAGTTAAAACGCACAACAAACGGTCAACGCAAACGCAACCCAAACGCATCGCAAACGCAACGCAAACGCAACGGAAATTCAACGCAAACGCAACGGAAACGGAACGCAAACGCGACGGAAACGCAACGCTCTTTTGGTAAAGAAAAACGGTCCAGGGTCTGTACCAACGAGTCCTCGCTAGCGCTTCATGTTGACTTTTTTTCCAGTTTGGATTCATTTTGCGTAAGAGCAGTTCAACATTTTAATGGAAAAAAATATAGCAACGGCATTTTGTTTAATTTGGATCAATTATCGTTTGCCTTTTCGAGAAATAGAAAGGCCATTTACAAATATTAATGGTATCCAACAATAAATTTAGAATTTTGTTAACATAATAACGTCATCGATGGGGCAATGCCCTATGCGAATCGCATTTATCACTACGTTGATATGTTTATATAATGTTTATGCCATGCAAAGTAAATTATATTTTGATGTCCTGTACCTGCATTGGTTTTAATGTTGAGATAGTTAAACGTCGCGCTGTACAGTTTGCAATACATAGATTATTGCATCAGATACTTACCTTTCCTAAATAAAAATTGATTTCCACCTTCCACAATTTTTACTACGCCAGTTTTAACAGTGAGTACAGCGTTTAAAAACTTCTGGAAAGAACATTTGTCTGCAATGTCCTTAGCTAGTTCATCGTCAGCTGGTACCTCCAGATACGTAGCCAAACGTTTTATTTCATTCACTGGATCCTGAAAGAGGAATATATACGAAGATTAACGTATTTAAATAAATGAAAAGAAAATTACGATAAAACTTTGATCAACGTTGAAGAAAGTCTATGATCGTCATGAGTGTCAACAATGATACAAACTTTTGTACCCCTAATGCATATCTAGTTTGTGGTCTTCAAACCTTTCTGCATTTGACAAAAAATATAACAGGACCGAAGTGCCTTACACTTCCACAGCATCTGCTTTGCCTCCAGTTTCTGGCTCATGTTGTCTGTCCATTTTTTTAAAAATATGTTTTAATTTATAATTCTTTAAAACTGCAATTTTACCCTTAATCTGTTTGCTCGGTTTTCTTCCTTTTCTATACTGTAACCTAGGACGTAAATTATTTCAATGTTGCCAGTCTATGTTGTGCTGTAGGCTAAATTTGTCACGCTCTACTACACGCAGCACTTTTTATTCCACTTGCAACAGAAACGTTGTTTTGGCAATTACAACGTACCTAATGAAGTTTTTTCATGAGTTTCACTGTAGAAATTGCTTTATCCAAAAGTACTAATAATATAACTATCTTAAACTAGTATTTCATGTGCGTTAGAAATATTCAATTTTAGGCGATGATTTCTGACTTTAAATGCAAACGTTTCATAAGGACAACTCCTTTCTTATGATGTATCATTTTAAGATGTTGTTCTGGAAATTCTCGAGTGATTTGTTGCCTCTGACGTCTTTCTTGTTTAACAGGTCGTAGACAAACGATTTTCGAATGCATACTTTTCCCGGATTTTGTTTCCTGTGATAGATTGATAAGTGTTGTAAGGGGTTTGGGGAAATATGACGAGTGGTTATTGAGTAATATACTTTTATGAGAAAACGAAGCGGAACAGACAACAGAATAGAAAAACCTTTGTAAATGTACGCTTTCATTGTTAAAAAGTTATTATCTATGCTCAGGAAACGTATCAAATAATATTAAAGGCCATTTTTCTAATGAACACCAAAATTTGAAGCCGAGCTTCTGGTCTCTTATAGTACAAACATTTTCATATATTAGTTTTAAAATGGGTGCTGAAAGGTGAGGCAATAGACAAAAAAGGAGTTACAATAGATTGATTCGGATCACAAATACCACTAAACACTAGAGACAAAACCAGTTGTCATCGTCATACAGAGCTAAATGATAAAAATGTCATCAGTGTTTGGGATCGAAATAATAGGAAACTGAGGTACATCAGAAAGTACTTTAAAGTCATCCAATTTTGATCGACCTTTTCCACTAAGGCATATACTGCTGTATAGGGTAAGAGACATTTATAAAACGAGAAAAACGTGGAAAAGAAGATTGAATCAAAGGCGGAAGAAATAATTGCTCGCAATACCAAGTAAGGAAACATTTACGTCGTCTGTATTTAAAATTTAATCAATGCAGGATTCCAAAAGAAGAGTGCAACACGAACATGCAAATATCAGCTCTGTGTAGGAGTGGACATATTTATTATCAAATATAGAATGTTTCCATTTGTGTTTCGTGTTAGTTTACTTAATGGATCTGTTTAGAGAAGAGTCCAAGACTTTATAAAGGCTCGACTGAAATGATATAAAACAGAGTAATTAGAATTTTGAATGGACATAAATCAACTCTATGGTGTCGATGTAACATGGAATGTCTGTTTTGGTTAGAGTGACATATTAGACTACTGTTATTCATACCTTCTTAAGATTCTCATAGAAGACCGTATGGACACTGGTGACTTGATTTTTATTTTTGGCATCTTCCCATTCCTTCTCGTATTTGAAGAATCCATCGTAAAAATCTACCGATATATGCAGCACAAATTCACTTTAAAGACAATACATATTCTACGATACTTGATGGTGATGTACAATACCCTAATATATATATATTTATATATATTGTTGTTGAAACATATTGAATGCAGCAACACAGTTCTAATATGTAACTGTAACGAGGAGTTTTAAAAACAAACGAACACCAAATTAAAGCTCTTTCAAAGAATACAATTATGACCTAGTGTTTTACATGCAATATCTGAAAAGAAATGAACCAAATATATATTTACGCTCATTGAAAAGAATAAGAAACCTAAAAAACAACAACTGTACATTGTCATATTAATTCGACCATTGAAAATCATATCAAAATCATTTGAAAATGTTGTTATACGACCTCCAATGCCTTTGTAACGCACAGTACGATTAAACGTTTTACATGTTCAATGATTGAAATTAAACGATACCGGAACGACACGCACTGTGTTTGCTTTCCATTTGATCTTTTAGGAAGTTTTCCCAGGTTCCAGGGAACTCCTCATCCTCTGATGTCCTCGGGTGAGAAATACGGTCGTCGTGTGTGCAGTGATTGTAACAAGACACCATTACATCTTTCGGATTGCGGCGAAAATGGACGATCTTGCATCCCTTAGCCAAGTGTTGCTTTGGTAGATGGCGGAACGGAACATGTGTACTCAAAACGCGCGGCGACTTTAATTCGTTCAAGGTTGAAAGGTCGTCTACGGCTTCCAGCATACCTGTATTTATGTATAGTATATCCTCCAACTTACAATCATTATAAGTGAAATATAAATAGTTTGGCATCTCTTAAAAATTTGCCTCCCCCACCTTTCCCTGATCTTGTCTTTTTGAAGCCCATGATTGAATTAATCGAATTCCTTATATATAGAAGAACGATTTATTCATTGTAGTTCAATGCTTAAGATTGTTATCCAGCATATCATATATCTATCATAAATATCTAAATGGTATAACTTTAAGATTTTAAGTTTAAACTAATAGTGTAATGTAAGCGCAAGCGCAAAAAAACACAAAACAGAAGCACAAATGTAATACTTGAATTGTTTTGTCTTACTTTCTTTTTACTTAATGTCTTTTACAATATTATATGTATTCCGTCTTTGCCTATTGCAGAGTTATCTTCTCTTGGGAGCAGGTATTGATTGTTACGTCACTTGTTTGTGAGAGTAACGTCATCAATTTTTGAGAAAAAGACGTAATTTTCTCACACAAACCAATGACGTAACAATCAATACCTCCTCCCAAGAGAAGATAACTCTGCAATACGCTAAGACGGAATAAACATTGCGTATTAACTATGCCAAGCAGCTATAATCTTATTAACTGCATAACTTTCCATCCTAGAAGAATGCCGGACACTGATGAGTATAGCTTTACCTATTTTCATATACCTGTCTCAACAGATAAAAATAAGATCGTACGCTCCGCTGGAAGGATTGGTTCTACAGTATAGCTGCTTCACAACAATGTGATGTTAAGTTTACTGATGAGACTCATTCTGGAATTGCTAATAAGTATTATAAATTGATTAGGACAGTTGTTATTTAATGAAACTACGATTCTTCTTCTTTTGACAAGGGCAATGTGTATTGTGTCAAAACGAGAAAGAATACAGTTTTGACCAATGACTATTTAAATAAAACTAATCACGTTATTGCTATAGATTTCACAAACATATTGTGTATTCATACTATAACCATTGTTCCTTTTATTGTTTCTAAATATCACAATGATAATAATACGTTTTAATTGTTAATTGGGATTTAAATTGAAATGACTAATTAAGATAATTTCGTTAGTTTAAATAGAGAAATCAAACATACCTGTAATTTTAGCACCCTTAACATACGTGGCGTGCCCTTGAACCAGCATTGAAATGATCTCATAGCCCCAGTTCGTTCCTGGCAACAAAACATGTGAAATGTAAGTTTGGTGTAACTGGTGTTTTATGATGGGAATACAAATTGTATTAACACTACAATGTAGTTGCTTCTGATTTTTACACGATTTCTTTTCACGTAAGTTCTATTCAAAGGGTAATGCAACTGAAGACACGGTCAATTCCAATTTTAATTAATATCATCTTAACTTAACATATATAGAAACTCTCTGTGATATGACAATATTTCAGCTTACTTTTATACCAGCTCTATTGCATTAAAATTTGTTATATTCCACATAAGTAGTTAATACTTTTACCTGTTTTGGGCAAACTACAAATCAGAATATCATTGTCTCTTGACTCAAAGTTTCGTACTGCAGCCATATGTTTATCAGGTACTGGTACCAGAGGGGGGAAAGCAGGCAACACGTATCCATCATATACTGGAAACACAGAGCAATGTTCACATTTGGAGGACATTTTGATACCTAAAGTAAAAAACAAAAAACTTTTGTCATAAAACATGTTATAAGTGCTGCATTTAACAAAATCCCATATACAATTCTTGGATCAACCTCTGCTCGTGTAACAGTTCACTATCCCGAGTTTTACATGAAGTAAAAAAAGGGTTTTTCAAGTAAAACAAATTTTCATGATGTAATACTTACCATAACTTTAGTATGCATAGACAATACCTACACCCATCTTTGTAGCCCAAAAACAAAAGATTCAAATATCCCTACCTTCCTACCGTGACGTAACCCATATCTCGACGACAGAGCCACGGAGTGATTTCCCTCCTCAAACCCCTTTTATGGAGCCTAACGGCAGCCGGGATGAGGAGGCAAGGGGAGGAATACAGGGTGGGACTCCATAAAGTTATGGTAAGTATTCCATCATGAAAATTGGTTTTACTTCAAAAACCTCAATTTCATTTCAGTAATAATTACCATAACTTTAGTATGCGAATTCGTCTTACCGTAGTGGAGGCTTCGAATACAGGCAGACCAGGCTGATGGAACAAACTCGAGACATGCTCAAGTTAGGGAAAAGGTTAAGGAACCCTCTAATAAAGCCCCGAAAGTAATCAAAAAATGGAAAACCTCCCCGTGAAACGAGCAGGTGTACTACCGTGGTGCCAGATAGCATACTATTTAAAAATCACTGAATTACTGTGGAGGAACAGCCACAGACTGTGCAACCACCACCGGTCCAAGGGAATACAATCCATCAGAATGAGAAGCCAAGGACCGGAGATAAAAATCCGTGAAGGTAGTCTGACCGCGCCAGAAAGCCGCGGACATGGCCTCCTGAAAGGGGGAGCCATTGAGGAGGGCCCATGACGCAGCAAGGCCCCTGATCTCATGAACTCTCACCTTATACAACGTCCGAACCTGATCATGACCTGGCAGATCCATCTAGACACTGACTTAGAGGAGATATCCTGCTGACCCTACTAATGGACAAGAACAGACGAGATCGAGACTATCCCGAGTTTTACATTAAGTAGAAAATAAAAATGAAAAAAATGTAACTAGGAAACATGATATAATGTTGAAAATGGATTCAGACTGTTGTTGTTTAACGAGAGTCCCTAGCATATGTGATATCAATTTTCATAATGTCCCGGATTGAAAATAGTCATGTAATATCACAGTTACTCTGTTTAAAAACACCGTATTTTTTGCCCTAATGTTGTATTATTTTTAGCCGTTTACATCACCGATGAGTCCTCGAAAGACGACACAGCTGTATGATGAAGTGTAGATATTTGTTGCCATGCTGTAAATGTTAGTAAAATTATAAAGGTGTAATCATAGGTGGGTGTATGTTACGTTCATCTTTGTATATTGTAGCTTAAGTTTTAAATCTTTATTCAGCTTTTTTAGTTACTTAGTTATTTAATGGCAGGGTAAAGGCTCTTTTGTAATTCTGAATGCTAACTTGACTGTTTAGTTCTTAAATTGTTTTAATGGGTAGTCAACATTCACCTTCATGTCTAGGATCTTTAGTTTTGAATCAACTGAAGAGTTTTAATTTTTCTTAACTGATAACTTCTATTGTTAGGGCAGTCAATGGAATGTACAAGTCTTCACAATTGCCATTTGTTGTCTCCTTCGCTTTGTTGTGTATAGTTGCAGCAATACCACTTATTTAAAACACAAAAGGTACATAATTGGTATAACATAAACATTACCAACTATTATTTCAAAAGTAAAATTCGTTTTCTAGTACTGCGAGTCTTATGTTGTTGTAACGAATACAACAAGCGTTATATTAACGTTTTTATACGGCTTATGCTTATGCAACAGCAGGCATGGAGTTTGAGAAAATTCAAACGTAAGTATGCTGAAGGTAAAAGTAGGTTTAGACGTTTAATGGATTTTTGACGTATTTTATGCATCTACGTATATACAAACGACCTTTCCGTGAAACTAGGTCCTACTCAGACTTACCCGCTGTCGATGTAATCTTATCATTAGTGTATTTTTCTATTCTAGCACACGTAAAACATTTACTGTGTAACTCACGATTGGACAATGTGTATGCTTGTGAACGTTGAGACACTTTGTAAAACTTGTTGTTATCTTTAAAATATAAAATGATATGATTTGGAAGCATTAATGTACTAAAAGTAAATGTTAAGGGCATGACCTACAAATGTAATACCATTTTCACTGAAATATATATATTGAAAAGCATTATGTGTGTAGCATAATAAGAAAACGAAAATCTATATCTGAAGTGTTCTGCCTTTCAAAACCGATATATTGTTGCCCTCAATGTTCCCTTGACATTCTTTGTTGAGATGACGGTAACCTCATATAAACAGACAAAAACTTCAAGATTATGTCTTATGAGTAAACGTTCTAATCAGAGCACGTTAACAAATACTATTGTACACGATTATCAGACTATGTAAAGATGACGATTGGGCCAGTATTCGACCAAACTTGGATGCCTTGTATTGTTTAACCATAACTGTAAACACATAAAATATATTACGTAATCTGTGCCAGACTTTGAACCCAGGAAGTGTATCTGATACCAAACGTAAACAAAATACGACCTTTCCGTTAAACTTGGTCCATCTCAGACTTACATGTACCTACTGGAGTACCTAGCCTATTTCTATCGATGTGCTGTTGGTATAATCAAGTTCAAGTTTGAGTAAACGTCCTAAACAGAGCATGTACTGAGACAAGAAATTCACATATGTATACTTCACTGTGTGTCGCTGACTATCTTGTTGCACACACTATTACAGAACACACATGTCTGATCACTGTACGATGTGTAATCGTATAGAAAACAAAGTTCACCGTTAAATGTGAGTTAGAAACCTGATTATTGTCAATACTTACCCAGTGCTTAGCAGGACTCTGTTTATTGTAGTAAGCACCATGTATATATGCCCCTTTCCTTTATCCTTATTGTCGAGATGAGCAGGTACAAGTGTTAACACAAATATGTCTGGCCTATATGATACACATACTTTACGCCACCTGTCGGCGGTTTGTACAAATTCGAAATTTTACACAATGTTGCCTCCCTTTCACATTATAATTAGACCAACAAATGCTGTCACACGTGTAATTCAACACACTTTAACAGAGACGAAATACTGTTTTGAGTATGAACGTATGTACTGATACACGTTTTCTTTACCTACATGTGAAGCTGTTATCGTTCATATACATGTACCGGTTCGCTGGGTAGTTCTGTTATTGTGTTAATATTTTCTCATCCACTTGTGTACACTTTGTTCTCATCAGTGGACGAGAGCAAACTACCAAATATAACTTATATATAATGTCCTTAAAGGGATAATTTAGTGAAGTAAGATTTTTTTTATAACCTTGTCACAAGACTTCATGATAACATAGTTTGATTCTCCTTATGAACAATTCATGTCGGGAAATTGATAAGAGACAATGTTTTTGCTTGGCGTTTTTAATCAGTAATTGAGAAATCCTTAACTGTACAGCCGTACGTTTTAGCGGCAGCTGTTGGTAAATTTCTGGCTAACAAAAATGTCTTCCCAGCCGAGGAGAGAAAGTACCTTCTTGTTTTATTCACCTAGCCTCTCTGGAAAACAAGTACAGGGATTTGTTCTGAATCATAATCTTCTTCCAACAGCATCTTAAACATCGTTATAAATGAGTTTAAACCTATTGATATCGTACCTCCTGCGGTTTGAAATTCTCCCTGTGGCGCCCTCTCAATGCGTCTAAATGAATATGTTCGTTTTTATTCAAATCCAAACGAGAACAGAAATATCTGATAAGAGGTATATATTATGATACTTAAAATTCTTACTTGCGATGTATTGTGTAAATTCAAGAATGTGTTATGTGTGAACTCAATAACTGACAGTGTTGTCTGTCGACAGCAAGCATAGTGGTGTACATGTTTACTTCTCACTGACAGGCCCAGATATTGCGCTATTTCTGTCGTACCTGTTTTCATCACCGGCTTTCTCAAAATATGAAACTGACCACACTGGACGTTGGCTTCAGGTCATGTAATTATCAACTACGTAAACTTTCGTTAGAAAAGATATACTTTTAGAATCGGCTCGATATTCTGGTTGTCATTTGACTAAATAGACCCTTTAATCTTTCTTTACTGCACATGTAAGCAGGAACTAGTATATACAATGTACGTGTGTTCACTGTTGAATGGCCATAACATTATATTCATGTCCTATACCATATATGCGTTTTTACACGCGACTAAGTAACATTCGTAAACCTTACCGCAGAAATGACGGGGCTTATGACTTCACTACCAGCGCGTTTATCTGTGTTTTCACTGCCGGAGTGAAGAGGTCTAATACTATATACACATGTTGCAGTTTAAGTTAAAATGATGAACAGCAGTAAACCTGGTTTGGTTAGCATGTGTGTATCCCTACGTTCAAAGTTAACAAGTGTTTTGATACATCGCGTTGAACCATATAGCTCCTATAGTTGACATGTGAAAAATCCAGATGATGGTAAAAAGAAACAAGATCGTGCCAAAGAAGAAATGTGCGGCTGTCTAGTTATTAACTTATCTACCTAATGGATAAACGAGCTTATACTGTGGCACAGCGTTCTTCTTTTGTCCGATGTCAACTTTTAAGTGGTTTGTGGCAAACTTGGCGGAAGGACTATCAACTTTATCGAAATTCACGAAATTGATCTATTCCGTGGTCACAATATCAAACACTCTAGCCGTCCAAATTTATATTCTCAAAACTAAAAGATTTCAAATAAACGACTAGTTCCTTTAACAATTTCATTGTGACATAAGTATATATATATGCGTTTTACTACTTTTATTTAAAATTATTTAGATTTATATGCTTATTCAGTGATTTTGCCATTGCATTTCTTTATACCATATTATGTCACTAACTGGCCTTGATTATGATAGTTTGATAAAGGGATGTGTTACCTTGAAAGAGCGGGACGTGCCAGGGACGAGGCGGGGAAGTGTTTTACGGACTTATATTTGATAAGTGTGATGGCTAGTATGTGAACTGCAACGTTTTTAATAATCATGGCGGTGCTTTGTGACATACTAGTTTTGTAAATAGTTGATTTAGTGGTGATTTATGCTATGTAACTTGTATATACATTTTAACCTTTATCGAATGTCCATTTACAGCATTGCTAACATTTTCATCTTCTACTGCATAGTTATATTTTACAGAATAATCGTGTTCCACTTACTCATTGCAATATAGCAATATGATATTACCATCTGATGATCATATGTATATTGATATGTTATTCATTCCTGGTTTCCACTGTATACCAATCCATAACCCCCTCCCCATTCCCGTAATTGTTCTGTTGTACACATTACTTCATTCTTGTAGCTAGTGTTCAAAAGTTGATTATGAAGGAGGTAACAAATTTACATAGGGGTCACGACAAATTCGTAGTTTTCGTGGTTGTTATTGAACCATGAAAATAAATACAACGAATTTGAATGATATACGTGTCTACTATGTGTTAATATGGGATATCCAAGAAAGTTTGTACCACGAAACGATCTAGATGGCTTCAAACCACGAAGGAAAGTGCCCACGAATGTCATTGGTATATTGTCATAGTCACAGGAACCAAATGTGTTTAAATCTTTTAAGTGACTCTGAAAAGCCATTAGAGGGATTATATGTATGTGAGTTTTGCATGGGATGGTCGTATACATGTATTTCTATCCTGCGGCACGCGATTCTCTTTCCTTGTAACAAAGTTTGTTTGTATACTGAATAATCAGTCAGTGTTTATGTTTTTATTAAGAATACGGATCAAATATTGCCGGACTTTCAGCATACCGGAATCAGATTTAAGATTTATTCCTAGTTCTGGATTACACACATTTAGTTTCTCGCTTATCATGTGTTTAATAGGAACTTTTCTGAAACATCAGTCCAAATCGGAGTTCTTTTCAAAAAGTGGTTTGAAACGATAAACAATGCTTTGCTTTTTATATTAAACTTGCTTAAGTGAACTATTATCTGTATTTCTGATTTTTGCAACAAGGGAAACGATATCAAATATACCGATTTCCTCAAATAGTTTCTTGTACTTTTACAATACGATACACCGATTTCTTTAAATTGTGAATTGAAATTGTGAAAAAATTACCATTAAAAAATGATTGCAGTTGGCACGTCTTGATCAAAGATCACAATGCTTATAAAATGTCCGGTTTTATGACATTTAATGGAGGCTCCAATAATGTTTATTATAAATTCGTGTTTACTAGAATGTTTAAAATAATTGTTATGTTTATCCACCATGTTACAGCAAGGAGGACTGTGTAACCAATTAGAGGTGATTGTGGTGTCCTGTCGGAAAGCAGATGTTATACAGAGGCAGATAGAGGCCGCAGTGTCGACACTTGCACTGGATTCTCTTAAGGTCAGTCGACAATGACGTTCTGTTACTTTAGATCAACCAGGAAAGATGTTACTGGTCTAATCTACAGGTGTCGTGAAGTACTGTACACGTACATAGCAGTACCACAGGCTCAATTAAATTTGTCCTTTCGCTCTCAGCCCTAAAACATGTTGATATTTAAGGTCCCCTGGTTAAGTACAGTGCATTATTGAAACGTAAACTTAACGATCTGCCGGTTTAATCATAAACATCGGCAACTTCAGATCAATTTAGTCTGTCATATGATAGATCTGAAATCTTAAACACCAGATAGAATGAGCATTCACTGTCATTGATCGGAGATACTTTTGATTATTAATCTTTCAGTAGTGTGTGTCCATGAATGTGGTCACATCATGTTTTAATATTGTAAGTTAAAGATAAGTCATTCTGATAGAGGAAAATCATTTGCTGCAATGTATTAACGCATTATAACAATATACCGTACATAAGGAACAGACCTATCAACACATAGACACTGCGCTTCAATACGAGTTGAGACATTCTATGAGGAAAAGTACAAGTCTTTTAATTTTCATAACTGCATATGTTATTACTCGTACCCTTAGTGCTAACCTGTGCCTGATTAAGAGTTTCAAACCACGCCTTAAAGCATAAGAGGATCAAACGTTGTCACTATTCGCGACCGACCCAACATTATTGAAAAAGATTTCAGGAATTGTATTCATATTAAAACGAAGCACTTCATGTTAAAATGTGCCAGATATGAAATGTTTGTTACTGTACATTAACGAAAAATAAATTTCCAACAAAACAAAACAGATTTGCAATTGAAAAAGGCCTGAGTTGTTACAAATTTCAACTCTTGGCTGCAATAAATCCTTTTCCTTAAATTAGTGCTGCATGTGAACAGCAACACAACCAATTTTAGGTAAAAGGACACAATATCGGGGTCTGTTTGTCCACTCGCAGAGTTAACTGCCTCGTTACGTTAAATCGCCACAAGAGAAATTAGTAAAGAAATGTGATAAACAAAGACTCTATTTATCGTTTTTAGTGATACAGAGGGACACAATCTCAATAACAGTTAAACAAACAATGGTAATCTCAATAATATGGTCGGAGGACGGACTAGTGGTGCCCGAGGTTCTTGCTGTTAATAGATTGACATTACACTTGTCTGTATTATTAAAGCTAAACAATGTGTCAGGATTCAGCAGTGAACGGCAGGTAAATACCAATATATGTCTTATGCTACATTTAATTAACACGGAAAATAATCGATTTGACTACTTCTGTTTCTCTAAACAGAGCAGTTTATAAGCTCGTTGTGTAAAACTGGCTAACTAGTTCGTCTATGCTATGCTAATTTAAACTGAATTATGCGTCCAAGAAGATCCAAGAAGATCGGAACAGCTGCGTGAGGCAGTGTCTCTCGTTTTATTGTCATACAGTTTCTATTACCAAATTTTAAAGGAACGATCACCTATATGTTTTGTTCGCTAACTGTTTGCTATTTTCATAAAAACTTTTCCTAATTATAGCATGTCCAATTTTACATGCTATATACTTAACAATAAACAATTTTAAGTATGGCAATATTTCAATTTGGGAAACATTTATTATATTCCCAGTTTATATGTTATAAAGCAAGCCATGCATTCATCATTTGGTTCCCGATAACATAATTTGTGTTGAAGAAATTCTGTTAATTCCTTCCATTTATACCACACCATATCAATGTAATTATGAAAAACAAGAAAGGTTGTAAAGACTTGTATGTTACACTGAATAATAAAAATAAATGTGCGAATACAGCTGAAATAAAATGGAAATCAAAAGAAAGTTTTAGAAACATAGACTGGAAACGATTGTATAGCATTCCTTTTAAAAGTACAACGGATACAACACTACAGTGGTTCCAGAATCGGTTACAAAATCGCATTCTCTCAATAAATGAATACTTGAAAACTATTGGTGTTTTGAACAATAACCTTTGCAATATGTGTAACACAGATATTGAAACTATAGAACATATTTTCTGGGAATGTCCTCATTCTTTCAGACTTTGGCAAGATTTGAAAAACAAAATATACCACAACTTAGATAAATTAATTTGATTTTACATTAGAAACAGTATTATTTGGAGAGACAGAAAAGGTTGCCTTACCAGTTAACTTAATTATCCTTTATGCAAAATATTATATATACACTGTATCAAGAAAAAAACAAAGACTCGGGTTAGATGGTTTGATTGAGTTTCTAGCATTCCGATATAACATCGAAAAAAAATCAGCCTCAAAAAATGTACGCAACGAAAAATTTAATCAAATATGGTTTGATTGGAAAAATATTTTTAACATTTTTAACAGATTGAAAAAACAAGTTTACACAATCCATACATCTTTCTATCTTTGTTTATATAATTGATACTCTTTCTCTTGAAATGAATATTTAAATTTCATCTTTATTTTGTAATCTGATAAAACTAAAACTGCATATATCCGGCATGTTATGGTGTGAGAGGATACATGTGCTGTTTTATGTTTGTTTTGTTTTATAATTACCTTTTTAGCGGACATAAAAACCTGTATGAAAACCGGTTTTAAAATGCTATTTGAAAATTGATGTCAGTATATATCCATATCAATGTGAATGACCACATGCATGTGTCATAGAAATATTCATACACATGTGTATATATATATATATATGTGTACATCTGACACTGTTTGCACAGTGTATTTATTATTGTTTATTAACTGCTTGAAATTATGCGTGCATAATGATGCATCTGATTCAGTGTATGTAAGTCTGTCTCAATGTATACATGTATGTACATTTTGTATGTACTGTATGTGTGTCTGTGTGTCTGTGTGTCTGTCTGTCTGTCTCCTGTATATATGTATGTGTGTATGAGTATATGTGTGGATGTATTTGTATGTGTATTATGTTTTTTTGTGTATACGAGACGTGCTTTATGTTTGTTTGTAATATTATGTTGTATATGGAATTTGTTAGGGTGTGAAAGAAGTATGTTTGTGTTCTTGTCTTGTACTCTATTTGCAAATATTTTATTTTCCCATTGCCCTTCCTATTTATTTATTGTTTGACTGATGGATGTTGAATGAGAACCCTCCTGCGTGAGGACACCATATTGTTCAGGGGCTGACTCCAGGGCTCCCCAACTCTGGCATCCCCTATCAAAATATTTATATATGTATATATATATATCTGCTTCGAAGCAGTATATGTATATACATATTTATGAAAAAAATGGCTGGGGGAATAAAATATTTAAGAAAAAAAAAATCCTTCCTGTTATATAAGTCAAGTTTGCCTTGATCAGCTTGCAGCAAAACGAAATAAATATAAAAAATATACATACTCTTGATTACACATATATTCCCATAATTGATATCGGTAGCATTGACTCAATGCTCCTTTGTAGTTTTTTTTTATTATGTTTATAGTATTTGTACCTTAAGTAAATGATAATAAAATGATTTTTTTGTAAGAACACGATGAAAGTTGACTCTACCGACTTCGACTTACGAATTGAGAGATTTAAGTGTGTTACGAAATGAAAAATAACAATATATGAAAAACATATGGTGTGTTGCCATACTATTGCAGACACCCACACAGTTGTACGCTTGTTTAATTATTTATATTTGTTTTTAACATTGTTCTCCCTTCATTTTCAGAGAATTCAGATTGTTTCATTAACAAATCTGGGATCTGATTCTATGAATGATGACCAATCAGAAGACAGCACAAGCCAGGGAAGTGCTACCTCAAACAACAGTGGAATGAGCAGCATTGTGGACGTTATTCACCTTGATATAGGTAATTTGTCAATTATTATATCAACTTCAATTATACTCACATACTTGACGTATGTTTTAGAAAAAAAGTTCGAAAGGTACATTAGAGTGGTTTGGTGGCGCAATGGATAAGCGTTTCACCAAGGCGGCCATGATTGAATGCCCCGATCGGACGTGGTAAGGTACGGGGTCACCTGCCGTACAACATGGGGTTTCTCCAGGTACTCTCCAGTGTTTTTTCTCACATTAATACCCCCACGCGCTAACATCCGGGCTAACAAGAATCAATAATATGACTTTAAATAACTCATTTTATAATTGTTGTAAAAAAAAATCAGTTTATATACTTATATTAATGAAAATTACATTCCAGACACTATTAATCATTTAAAATTGAGGATGTGTCTTCTAACCTTTTTGATATAACAATGGAAAATCAAAGGCCATATTGCAATACAGACCCGACAGATCCACAGAAATATCATAATCATGTAAAAGAAAATTTCTATAAGAATATCTGGTTATTGTAAAAAAATGATCTTTTAATTATATTTTGGTTGGTATTTTTGTTTAATACTCAGTTAGCCTAACATTTTCTACGGTTAGACGCAAATACCAATATATTCATACCTTACACGGGGAAACCGAACATTACGTAAAGAATCAACAAATACAGGAAAGTCTTATGTTTCCGATCTATTGTACGATGTAGATAACGATTTGGTCTGTCAACATGACAAATCAATAGGTAGAAAGGTAGACGTGCCAAAAAGATACAGGACAGCATTTTAAACAACGTTCGAAGTATTTCACATCAAAGAATGATTTTGTCTGATTTCGCCTCAGATAATGGAACGATTTCGTCCAGAGCACAGACACGTATTGTATTTGTACTGCTTCAATGTTTCGTCCTCTACCAATAAAAATATAATTGCATGGTACGAGGTTGATGTGACCTTTTCCTAAATAAGTTTTACAGGGTATTAGTCTACACTGATGCTGGATTACTGGATAGTGTACAGGTTTGGGGTTAATCTCGGCTATTTAAACATTGACCAGTGCCATTACCGCACCTCATTGTGGCGCCAGCTATACTGTAAACAACGAGGGCAATATTCGGAGTTTTAGAGATTCTTCAATTAGTTAATACTACTGAATGGCTTTAATTTCCCGCCTTCCGACATCGTTCACACCTAGTGTGTTTTTTTCAAAGATAAGGTCTCATGTTGTGCAACAGGTTGTTCAACAGCATCGATTCCTGCGTTGGTTTCTCATTTCGTTTGATTAATTTCTTAAATTCTAGATAATGATGTATTTAATCTCGATGGAACCGAACGTTTTAAAAACTGTAGTGTAAGACAGTATTTCTGGTCTATAAATTAACGAAGATTTTGGATAAATCATTTGAACTTCACTCCAATTCTTTTCATATACACAGTTTCTTCACAGAAAACGAGTTTGTTCAACCATTCTGCTGGGTATTCCGTTATTTCTGTTCTTTCGTTGTGATTATGCAAACCAAAGCAATACATCAACTTAATGAAGCATCTGCTAATGTTAATAAATTGTTGATACATGGACTTTGATATATTGAATATTTAAAAAAAATTACATCTGTTCATATATTTGCCCTAGCTTTATAGATTTTGCTTTTGAATTATAGACTTTTGGCGCCTTAGTATTCTCTGTGTATGTATATATATACCAACTAAGTACAATGCTTACTTGGTTTAAGTGTATTTTCAAAACAACATAATGTTATAATACAGGCAGAGAGCATAAACGTTTCTAATGTCTAAACGTACATCTGTCTGTTTTGTCACGTGTTCAGTCAGCTTCTTTCATCCTTAATTTCAGTTCAACGCAATTGCATACATTACATGTCCCCTGATCAAAGCGTATTGTCATTGTACTGTAAGAAGATTTCCTTGTCTTTTCTAATGACGGAATAGAGTGAAGGCATTGACTATTTCATTGAAATTGTCTGTTAATTAAAGTTTTCCTACTTTTCTAAACGGCAACAGTTTACTTTGCTACATAACAGTTATCATTAAGATGTACGTATCTTATCCATGATGACAGAAACAAAAATACAATCCAATATTATGCATTCCTTTCAGATCCGTTGTGCCTACAAAACTTCTTCAGCAGTTGGTTAATCGACAGCAGCACAGACAGCGAGCACTTGCACATTGTCCTTCCACCGGCTTTTACAGGTTTGTACATGATTTTCAAAACTATAATGCATCTATAAGCATTTCGATATCATTTCATTGCCCTGTTGTCTTCGGTTGTACCTATTTGTGTATGTCACCAGTTGCTCAGTAAATTACAAACACGGACAAGTTGTGTATTTCCATTATCTTTCTTTACTATACCCGAAAACATACAATACAGGACAATACAATAAATACATTCAGCCGCACAGATGCATACAATAAATACTAAACAACATCCGGGCCGACCGAGTAACCGGACCTCGGAATCCAGACCGCTATATATATATATACATTAATTCACGTACATAAATATTACAACTACACGATAGTTGTTACATTAATACCGCAATACATACGGGGTATGACGTTCCTAGAATGGTTCAATGCTGGCGGCAATGTCTCTATAAGCCTCTATATGTCTCTTATATGAATACATATAATCAGTAGAGCACCGATCCTCTCTTACGAGTCGGATTGTAAGAATGACCACTGGTTAGTAAGTATTTACCCAGTAGCCGGAAAAAAGTGGCGGGAATATAGGGTGCATTATTCGTGCAAGGGGCAGGTCCAAAGTCTACGTCGTAAGTACATAACAACACGGGTACATACATTTCGAACTGATGTCGTCACATACACTGTTTACCAGACGGGACAACACACGTGTATTCAGACAGTTGACAGTCTCTTACGAGTCGGATTGTAAGAATGACCACTGGTTAGTAAGTATTTACCCAGTAGCCGGAAAATAGTGGCGGGAATATAGGGTGCATTATTCGTGCAAGGGGCAGGTCCAAAGTTTACGTCGTACGAACAACACGGGTACCTAAAATGATTTTCACTCTGTCACTATATATCATATATATATACATGGGTTACATATAAATGAGATTTTTTCCCGTAGAAATTCAGTGTGTTAATTGCATGAAAATTTGGTGTGGGTGTTAGAAAGAGAATTAAGAAAAACAAGCATTCTGTGGGTATTGATGAATCAATATATGTCCCCTACCGGCCCCCCAAACTTTAACCTGCAGATTTTGGCCAAGATATTTAATTCGAAAACATGTCAAAAATTAAAAACAAAACTAAAATGCTTTTCACTCTGTCACTATACAACATTAATGCTAAACCCCTAAAGAACCTCTACATAAAATCAGCGTCCTAACACTATTATTATGTGAACAGTGAGCCATTATAAAAGTTTTACCAAAACTTGAACCTGCAGATTTCGGCCAAGATAGTTAAGTCCAAAACATGTAAAAATAAAATCAAAAAAATAAAATTATTTTTCCACTGTCACTAAACAACAATAATGCTATACCCCTAGGAACCTCTGTGCATAAATCAGCATCTTAACACTATTATTAAGTGTACTGTGAGTCATTACAAAACTTAAACCGAAATTTTAACCTGGTGATTTTGGCCAAGATAGTTAAGTGGAAAACATGTCGAACATTGGAAAAGAAATATATTTTCCGGACGCAGAAAATATATATAGTCCCCCCGGTTTCACCGGTAGGCAACTAAAAACCAGTCGACCTGTGAACATGTCACCTTACTTGCTGAGGTGTGACAATGTAACGTTACAGAGCGTAGGGAAACTATATTAGAATGAATGTTTTCGATAGTAGGCATTTTGTGCACGAACATAATTCATAACTGGCTTTAGAGCACTAAAAGCGCAATTAAGAGCAGGCCGAGTATTTGTGTTTCGATAACTGTCAAAAGCCTTGCAACTGTCTTACCAGCGATCAAAGGCATCTATATCGTAACATTGATCAATCAATCATACTTAATCGCACATTTGTGCGAATATGTCTGCACAAAGGGGCAAACGATTGTTCAAACACATGATTGCTATTTCATGTTCTCTAAAAGCATACTTTGGTGTGTTATGCAGTTGTGTACATTATTTTATTTCCACTTGCTGAATAGTGGGACAAATGGATTCATAGAGACTGGTGGATTAACATTTCGGTCATGCTCGTATGCTACCTAACAAACTCGAAACACGGGAGGGCGAGGCCAACCATTCATAGCACGGAACCTTGAAATTGGAAAAGAAACGACGGAAATTAAGATATAATGTATATATTGCGGTTTCTTATTATTATTTAATAGTAAAAAAGGACAAAGCAAATTAAGTAAATATTATGCATTACCATTTTGTTACTGTTAATAAGAAAATGGACTAAAAGTCTGTCAGGGAAGCCGGTGTCTCAAACTTGTGTGAGAATGGTTCGATTAAAGGGAAGCATGCAACATTTTCATTGGGTTTGACACCATGCATCGCTCGATATATTTTTCATATAACTATTTTGTCATACCTTGCTAGCTGGAAGAATCATATTCACTGAAATACCTACAATTAACCCTATTTTCTTTCATTTGGCTTGTGTGATCCTATTGTTTTCGTTGTCCATCATCAGTACAACAAACACACACATTGATAACCTGGATTACGGTTAACTACTTAAATGTATTAAGTTCAGTTTATGATTTGATTATTTTGTACCAAAGTACAGTAAAATGGACATATTTAGAGAGTATTATCACGATATACCGAAGCAAATCCTTTTCCAAATAAATCAGATAAAAACGCCAAAGGACAATGAAAAATTTGGATTATTTTTGTTCTTTTTAATAAACTGGGAAACTTTTTCATGTTATGTATACGCTAGTATCAATCTAAGTGAGGTAAAGGTATATCAACCTTTCTACGTCAAACTTCTGTTTATTACGCATTTAACAATCACGCGGGGAAAATGACGTAATTAGCAATTCCAATCGTGACTATACCGTCGAAAATTGTTTCTATTAACCATTTAAATGATATGTTATATCTCAAACGAATTGGAATATCTATAACAGCTCTAGAAATGATCTTACAGCAATCTCGTGATCATTGGTTTTGATTAATAAAGACCAGTTCCAGACAAGAAAGGTTGAAATAGCGCGCGTACTTTACGAGCAAAAAATTTATCACCACTAGAAAACACGACAGACATATAATATACGAACCAGACGATGAAAGATGACAAAATGAAACATCTTACTCTTAGAACATTTCACAACTGAATAGCATCAGCATTACCTTTTATGTCTCTTGTAGTGTGTTTCTATAGATATTTTTAGTATAGTCATGTGGCTGAATAAGATGTCAATTTGGAGGCATTATTTCCCCGCTTATCGATAAATCACACATTATCAAGAGTGCACGAAGCTTTCTTACAATTTTTATTTGGGGATTCAGCAACCTCAATACACTACAGCAGCTATATATTGGTCTGCATTCTCTTTCCTCCCATTTTGAATATATGTATAAACTGTTTCCTTTACCGTGTACGAAATTTATGCTTTTATGTTACACGATTTCAAAATGGGGTGGATTTACAGATGCCGGGATTCAGTACTTTGCATGTTTTGCCGAAAGATATAGCATCTGGTGTGCCTGTAACTGATTTAACTTTTATGTAGGGCCTACAGTTTAGTCTTTTCTTGTTTTCTTGTAGTGAACTTTGGAATTTGGTGTATTTTGAATGTTGTTTGTTTTATTTTTCGACATTTTTGCATTGGAATGTTTCGACACAATGCGGCCCGATTTCATTCTTATTGCCTGTAAATGTTGACGTGCTTAGTCTTGTAGTGAACTTTGGAATTTGGTGTATTTGGAATGTTGTTTGTTTTATTTTTCGACATTTTTGCATTTGAATGTTTCGACACAATGCGGCCCGATTTCATTCTTATTGCCTGTAAATGTTGACGTGCTTAGCCAATACATGGGCTGCGTCTTTTGCAATATGAATATAAATACCATCTATAACTTGTGTATTTTTATATGTTTAATACTTGTCGTTATTGAACATTGTAATATGTTCTCCTTTTACAAGTTCGGTGTTCTTTTTCAAAAAATGTTCATGTTGTTTATACTGTAGATGTATCTATTTAGATTACACCTTCAACATTTAAAAGCGGTGAAGTAGCGGCAGTTCTAAGAGTACCTCATTAATTGTTGATAGTTCAAAATATAATCCTTCCTCTATAATATGCTCATTGCCCTACTAAATGTTGGATACGATTCTAACAAATTCAAAAGTCGACTTGTACTGTTATATATCCAATCAATGAAAGGCGTATAAAGATACTTAGTCATCTAGCTGTAATGTTTGTAGTCCTAAGTTTGTATTTATCAAGAGTATACATCTTTAAAATATATCCTGGCTCACCAAATAAAATGCGTGAATTTGTTAAGTAATAGGCTCTCAATAGTATTCGTATATCGATATTGTTGACTGTTTGGATTAATCATACTAGTATAACTGCTTCAGGATATGATTGAAATTTATAGGACTAACAATTTGTAGTAAAGATACCAGATCATTGTCGAAGGTACTGCTATAGTATCCACAGGTTCAATATCATATTAACTTTTTTTGCCAATCCATTATAGCGTTGTGAAATTAGGTACATGTACTAAGTACTGGTATCATATAATGTTTGTTATTAATCATAATTTAGAGTCGTTTATACCTTCACGCTTTACGCATCATCATTAACATATATTAAATTCGAATGATTTATATATATTTTTCTCTCACATTATATAAGGAATGTTATTGACTATTTATATAAAAATACATAAATTAATATTAACACGAATAGTATTGCCATTTATACATTTAGTCATATTTCGTCTAACAACATGTATTTTTAAGAAAAATAATTGACAAAAAAAATAAAATTGACAGCTTTCTATTTGTGAAGGTCGATTGTTGCAATGCACTGAAATTAATACGAGCGTATTCCTTCTAATACAAGGTGAAAAGATGCACACACAGATTCTACCGACAGATTTAAGGATAACTAAAGATACATTACCCACAAGGTCGGTTCTTATCAATTTATTGCATTAAGCCTACTGTAATTTACCGCCAATTCCCAGCTAAAACCGCTATATTATTATAACCGGATTAAAATCTGCAAGCATGGCCGATACGATA